ATTTCACTTATATGTGGAATCTAATGAATAAAATTAACAAACAGCGTGAAAACAGACTCATGGATATAGAGAAGAAACTGACGTCTGTTAGAGGAGAGAGGTTTCGGGCCTAGGTGAGAAGGATGAAGGGATTAAGCAATGGGGAAATAAAAGAAAGACTCATGACACAGACAACAGTATGGTGATTCCCAGAGGGGAGCAGGGGTGTCGGGTGAGGTAGAAGAAGGTAAGGGGAGATAACTGATGATGGAAGGAGACTTGAGGTGATAAACACAGTACAATATACAGATGATGCATTGTAGAGTTGAATACCTGAAACTTGTATAATTTTATTAACCAATGTCACCTTAATAAATTGAATAAATAAATAAATAGGCTGGTTATGAAGCTATGATAGCCAGCAACTTACTATATGTAAGCAAAGTATGTTATAAAATATGATAGAATAAAGTTTCTATTTATAGTAGCAAAATAAAAGTTATAAACACCAAGAAATAAACTTTACAAGAAAACTGCATAACCCACATGGGAATAAAAGAGATTTGAAAAATGGAAACACATTGTGGTATTGAATAGGATGACAATATTATATAAATTTTAGTTAGATTAACTATACATTCACTAAAATTGTCAAAAATTGTTTTCTAATCTACAAAGTTCTTCCTAATGTTTAAATTAAGTATAAGAATAGCCAATAAATTCTGAGAAAAGGAGGAATAAAGAAAGTAGGGGGGCCCTGACTCAGTTGGCTCAGTGGATAGAGCGTTGGCCTGCAGACTGGGGGGTTCCGGGTTCGATTCTGGTCAAAGGCATATACCTTGGTTGTGGGCACATCCCCATTGGGGACTGTGCAGGAGGCAGCTGATCGATGTTTCTCTCTCATCGATGTTTCTAACTCTCTATCCCTCTCCCTTCCTCTCTGTAAAAAAATCAATAAAATATATTAAAAAAAAGTAAGTAGGGGGACAAATAAAACTGCTCATCAACATGTTATAAACATTGTTACCACACTGAGTTCATCTACTGTTCTATGAAAGCAAAGATGTTTTTATTTACTTGTATGACCAGGTTATGAAAAAAGAATAGATTTCCATTAGCTCTCAAATGTCAAATTAGAGCCCTGGCTGGGTGGCTCAGTTGATTGGAGTGTTGTCCCATACACCAAAGGGTTACAGGTAAGATTCCTGGTCAGGGCACATACTACCTACATTGTGTGGTTTCAATCCCTGGTCAGGGTGCATATGGAAGGCAAGTGATCAATGTTTTCTTCACCTCAGTGTTTCTCTTTATCGCTCTCTCAAATCAAGAAAAACATCCTCGGGTGAAGATTTAAAAATAAAGTCAAATTACAGTTGGCCCTTGAACAACATGGGAGGCAGGGGCACCGACACTTGTGCATCAAAAATCCATGTTCAACCTTTTTATTTTTTGTTCCCTCCTGTACTCCCCCATTCAATTTTGGCTGCCACAATCAGACAGGCAGAAAGCACAATGACCCTTTTTTCTTGCATCTGCACTGGAACCTTCGCAGCAGAGAGTACTTGCTCCAGGTCTGTCAAATAGATGCATCACATACAACTTTTGACTCTGAAAAAAGTTGCCCTTGACCAGAATCGAACCTGGGACCCTTGAGTCTGCAGGCTGACGCTCTATCCACTGAGCCAAACCAGCCAGGGCTGTAATATATTCTTTATTTCAGTCAGTATATGCTTAATTTCTAGTTGGTCCTTTTTCATAACCTCGAGGGTCTCACTAGATTTCTTGAGGGCCTCACTAAATTTACTGGCGGTTTCTAGAAAATTCTTGAAAAACCTTTTAAGTGTGGTTTTGAACTCTGTATCCAGTAGTTTGCTTTCCTCCATTTCTGTCATTTATGACCTGTTTCTTTGTCTCCACATTTTTTATGCTTCCCTGTGTTGATAGAGTGGCTTTCTGTGCTAGGTGTCCTGTAGGGCCCAGTGGCTCAGCCTCCCCAATTACCTGAGGTGAACACTCTTGGTGCACCCCTTTGTGGGCTTTGTGCACAGTAGTTAAGCCTTGATTGTTGTAGGTATTACTGGGAGGAATTGACCTCCAGGCCAATTGGCTGTGAGAATCAGCTGTGTTTGCAGTGGGAGAACTTCTGTGCTGGAGACACCCTTCTGGGGCAAAACTTGCTTCAATGGGGCTTTGGTGCTCACTGAGTCTGCCCCCTGAGTGTGTCCCTTATGGATCGGAGGAGTTGTAATCTGGATGGTCCCACTCTGACCACTGGGTACGCTGGCTCTTGGATCTCTAAGGAGGTGCTAATTTAGCCTCTGCCTGAGGCTACCTAGCAGGAGCTATGGAGAGATCTGCAGATTCCTCTTCTTTGTTTGTGGTTTGGAGGTGCCCAGATTGAGGCCCAGCTGTGAAGCAATGCAAGCAGCTGTGGGGCCTTGGGCCTTCTTTTGGAAGTTCTGGGTCTCTCTGACCCAGCTGCAGTTTTTAGGTAATTTTCACATTGCAAAGGGCTAGGCCTTTCATATGCAAAAGCCTCTGCACACAGCTTGAGTGGGGCGGGGTCTTAGGGGATCAACAGGGCGGAGCAAGCAGCTATGGCTGCTCCTCAGTCCTACCCTAAGAGGACCCGCATCTCTGTCCCGGTAATTGCTGCAAGCACCTCTGAGAGAAAGCCGCCCTCGAGTTCCGACCGATGCCAGACAGTCCAGTTTCTCCCCGTATGAGTCTGGTCCCCAGAGACTTGCCCGGAACTGGAGTTCAGAGCAGTCGGGAGCTTGAGACTCCCTCCCGATTGAAAAAGACAGCCGTGTCCTCAGTTGCCAGCCCTTTCTGCGTGCACCTCCGTACCTCTGCACTTTACTTCCGCACCTCCTCTGAGTCTCAGTGTGCTTTTCTCTTTCTTTCTAGTTGTAGAATTTCTACTCAGCCAGCCTTCCTGTGGTTCTGGATGATGTCCGTTTTGTCTTTTAGTTGTATTTTTGAAGTGGTTGTGTGAGGCAGCAATTTCCGGTATTTACCTATGCCACCATCTTGGTTTCTCCACAGGTATTTATTTTTAAAAATTCATGAATAAATGGACCCATGGAGTTCATACCCATGTTGTTCAAGGGTTAACTGTATGAAAAATAATTTGTGTATCTCCATTACTTGAATCCCAACACATTTACTGACCTAGAATGCCAGGTTAAATAAAGTTGTGAAAAGTGTGAGTGATTATTTTTTGTATAACTGCTCTATCATTTGGATTGCACTATGAAAAATCACTGGTGGCTGGTGTGGGTCAGTAGTTAGAGTGTCAGCTGTGAGCACCGAAAGGTTACAGGTTCAATTCCCCATCAAGTGTATATACCTGGGTTGCAGGTTTGATCCCTGGCCCCAGTCATGGTGCATGCTGGAGGCAACCAGTCACTGTGTCTCTCTGAAATCGATATTTCTCTCTCTCTCTCTCTCTCCCCCCATCCCTCCTTTTCACTCTCTCTAAAAAATCAATGGAAAAAATATCTCCATTGTGGATTAATTTAAAAACAATCACTACATTCCTTGAAAAGTGTAATTTTTTATGTCTAGCTGTATTGGAGATATTAACTCTTTACTTCCTTTAGATTCTAGACATAGGATGTTCCTGATATAAAAGATTATTGTTTTATTTTTTATTTATTTTTTAAAATATATTTTTATTGATTTCAGAGAGGAAGGGAGAGAAAGAGAGAAATATCAATGAGAGAGAATCATTGATCGGCTGCCTCCTGCACGCCCCGAACTGGGGATCGAGCCCACAACCCAGGCATGTGCTCTTGACCGGAATCAAACATGGGGCCTTTCAGTCCACAGACCAACGCTCTATCCACTGAGCCAAACCAGCCAGGGCTATTGTTTTATTTTTACTTCAGTTTTAAGAATTTAGTTTTAATCAATCCACATTTCAGTTGTGAAATCTGTAAGTGGCTTATCACATGGCCCTGTGCTGGCGCCATTGTCTTGAGTGTGACGTGCTGTCTACTTGTATTGCCTTACCTCGTGTTTTCAGACAGGCTGGTCATTGCATGATTTTCAGATTTTCTTCAGCATTCGTATTTAATTTCAATTTCATTTTACATATATATGCTGAACTACTTAAAAGCCTGAGATTTAAAAATGATGTACATGTACATTTAAACTTTTAATACAATAGAGACAACTAATAATATGTATTCCCTGGATTAATTCAGCCTTTACAGAACTCAGAATAAAGTTTTTTCCTGCTTTATTTACTAGTATATACTTAAACTTCTTAGAAATGTGTCATAATTAGGCATGTTGTGTTTCTAGGCTTGTCGCTTTAAGTTTCTGGTTAAGAGTGCACTCTAAGAGGGCTTCATGAGTGGCAAACCCATGGATTTATGCTTCTCTATATTGTATAAAACAGGAGCAAAATAACACATCTTCCAACTACTTATTCTGGTAGGGATTATTTCGGATAATCTTATCTACAACCTTTTGAAATTTTTTGCTTACATACAAGTATAAAACAATAAATACTGTGCATAATTGAAAAATGGGACCTTTTTCCATTTGGTGGTATATTAACAGAGATATACATGAAAGGGATGGCTACTGGCAGTACATCACATTTCCTAAATTAAAAAATATTGTTAGAGAGGTGTTTAAAAATTTCTTAGACCCTAGGCTGAAAATCATTAGTTATATAATTCTCCATGTTTGACTCTGGAAAATACAACAGTGTTAAACTTGAGGTGTTGTGGGTCCAGGAAAGGAGTGTGACAGCTCTGCTTTGGCTGGCTATGGGACTTGGGGACAGACACTTAATTTTTCATAACTTTGGTTCCATCACAAGATTCCTTTGGAAAATTAGTCTAACTGAGGTTGATTTGAAAAGTATTGTGTTATATAAACTTTTAAGTATTGTAAATAAAACTATTAACTGGTATAATTTTTGATATATTTAGTTATAATTAGCATTTTTCTCCTTTCCTGTTCCATACATTTTTTTTACATTCCCCCAATTGTTCTTTCCTTAGGGCATTTCATTAGAAGAGTTTGATAGATTATCTTTCAATATGATTTTAATGAGCCCTCCCTGTCAACCATTCACAAGGTATGTATAATAAATATTTCTCTGTTGAGAAAGAGTACTTTTGAAGAACTTATTAAATCAAATCATACCATAGTTTTGAGCATGGACACTTTGAAGTCTATTAGCTGTATTTGCATAGTTTTGAATTTTTTATAAATAATTCCTTTTATCTACTCATCCTGTATAAGGCTAATATGCAAATTGTCCCCTTGATTGGGAGTTCGACTGGGAGTTCAACCAGGAGTTCAACCAGGGAGCGGGGCCAGCCCGCCAACCACCCGTGGCCCCTCCTCCAGGCCAGCCCGGCCCAATTGACCCCGATCAGGGCGGACTGGCTGGACCTCACCCATGTATGAGTTTGTGTACCGGGCCTCTAGTTTATTTATAATTTAGTATTAATTATGAAGGATATAGCAATTACTGCCAAATGAGCAAAGTAATTTGGTCAGTAGATATACAGTGACTATGACAGACCTCCTCTATACCTACCTGAGAAGATATAATCATGCACCACTTTACTATGGGGATGCATTATGAGAAAAGTGTAGTTAGGCGATTTTGTCATTGTGCAAACATCATAGGGTGCACCTACACAAACTTAGTGTAGCCTGCTACACAACAAGGCTACATGGCATAGCCTATTGCTTCCAGGCTACAAACCTGTGCAGCATGTTACAGTATAGAATTGAATACTGTAGGCAATTATAACACAATGGTAAGTATTTATATATCTAAACATAGAAAAGGAACAGTAAAAATATGGTATAAAAGATTAAAAATGTTACACCTGTATAGGGTATTTACCATGAATGGAACTTGCAAGACAGGAAGTTGCTCTGGGTGAGTCAGTAAGTAAATGTGAGTGAATGTAAAGACCTAGGACATTGCTATACACTACTGTAGGCTTTATGCGCACTGTACACTTAGGCTACACTGAACTTATGAAACAACATGAGATTAAATCACACAAGATAAATGATGCAATCAAAGACATGGCAAAAATAATCTATATATATAAAACCCTAATATGCAAATAGACCGAATGGTGGAACAATTGAACAACCGAACAACTGGTTACTATGACGTGCGCTGACCACCAGGGGGCGTGTGGGGAGCATGGCAGGCATTGGCTGCAGGTGGCAGAGCACAGAACATGGCGGGTATGGGCCACGGTGGGATGGTGGAGCAGGTGAGCGGTGGTGCCAGACCAAGGCGGGGTGCTGGTCGCTGTCATCAGGGTGAGCCTCTGGTGGTTACTAAAAATTCTTTGCTCCCGTGTGCCGCGGTCCTGCCCAGTGCTACTGCTGGCGCCAGCCCTGCCTGCACCGGAGCTGCTGCTCACACCCAGTGCTGGCCCGGATTGCTCAGCACTGTCAGTGGGTGTGAGTGGCGGCTGCCAGCCTCAATTGCCCCTCAGGGCTTCTCCACTTCCCCTTGTTCCTGAGGGGCAATTGGGGCCTGCAGCCACTTCTCACACCTGCTGCTGGCGACAGAGCCGCTGCTCGCACCCACTGCTGGCTCTGGCCCAGCTTGCACCCAAAGCTGGCGCCAGAGCTGCCATTTGTACCCACTGCCAGTGCCTGGCCCCAGTCCTGATCGCTCGACACCATCAGCAGGTGTGAGTGATGGCTGCCAGTCACAATTGCCCCTGAGGGCTTCTCCACCTCCCCCTACTCCTTAGAGGTGATCGGGGCAGCAGCCGCCGCTCACGCCCACTGATGATGCTGGCTCTGCTCGCACCCACTTCTGTCACTGGCCCCAATTGCTCTGCGCCATCAGCAGGTGCGAGTGGAGCCAGTGCCATCAGCATGTGGGAGCAGTGGTGGCGGGAGTGGGACTGCCGGCAGAAAGGGGACCGGGGTCTGCGGTGGAAGGAGCTGGGAGGGGGCGTGGAGGATGAGCCAAGACCCGCCCCTGTGCCCACCACAGCCTTGTGGCCCACAGTTCCTTTCAGGGTGCACAAATTTGTGCACTGGGCCCCTAGTATATATATGTCTGTTGCCAGTGTAACCTGGCATACTGTTTTACAGCAAACTTATTTTAGTAAGTAGAAAGAGTACATTCTAGAATAATGATAAAAAATATAGTATAGTAAATACATAAACCATTATGTAACCAACATAGTTGGTTATTATCATTATCAAGTATTACGTACTATAAATAATTATATGTGCTGTACTTTCATAGGACTGGCAGCACAGTAGGTTTGTTTATGTCAGTATCACCACAAATATGTGAGTAATGCATTGCACTGCATATGGTGTTATGATGGCTATCGTGTTTCTAGGTCAGTGATGGCGAACCTTTTGAGCTCGGCGTGTCAGCATTTTGAAAAACCCTAACTTAACTCTGGTGCCATGTCACATATAGAAATTTTTTGATATTTGCAACCATAGTAAAACAAAGACTTATATTTTTGATATTTATTTTATATATTTAAGTGCCATTTAACAAAGAAAAATCAACCAAAAAAATGAGTTCGACATCACTGTTCTAGGTGATAGTCTTATGCTGCTGGCAGCAGTAACTGACTCTGTAGTACTGTCATCAGTTAGAATGCTGAAAGGAAAGGGCAGAATGAGAGGAACCAAGGTTTTGGAGTAGTCTATTCAAGTCCACTCTAATTTCCCATGGAGCCTCAAGTTCACTGATGGTTTTGGCCCTGTTGTTAGGTATGAATGAGGAAACTGACACATGATATTAAGTTACTTATGTAAGACTATGAAGCTAGTAAGTAGCAAGGTCCTCTCTTTCTACACCTGAGGCCCAATCCAAGTCTTCCTTTCTGTTTGCTCATTTAAATCTTTTTCAAAAAAGTTTTTAATTACAATTGACATTCAATATTATTTTACACTAGAGGCCCAGTGCATGAAATTTGTGCACCAGGCAGGAGGGTTCCCTCAGCCCAGCCTATGCCCTCTCGCAGTCCTGGACCCCTTGGGGGATGTCCGCCTGCTGGTTTTCTTCTGACTACTTTTAAGATGTTCTTTGCCTTTTTTTTTTTTTTTTGTAGTTTCCCTCTAATGCACCCAGGTATTAATTTCTTTCTCCTCCCTGGGGATCGCCCCTAAGCTGGCAGTCGCACATCCCTCTCACAGTCCAGGACCCCTTGCTCCTTACCGCCCGCCTGCTTACTGCTCCTTACCACATGGCTTGCTGCTCCTTAGCACTGCCACGGATGCGGGAGAGGCTCCCACCACCATCGGGGCGCTTGCCAGCCGTGAGCCCTGCTTCTGGCTGAGCGGCGCTCCCCCTGTGGGAGCGCACTGACCACCAGGGGGCAGCTCCTGCATTGAGTGTCTGCCTTCTGGTGGTCAGTGTATATTATAGCGACCGGTGGTTCTGGTCATTCCACCATAATGGTCACTTAGCTTTTATTATATAGACTAATGGTCTGGTGCATGAAATTTGTGCATGGGGGAGGGGGTGTTCTTCAGCCCGGCCTGCACCCTCTCCAATCTGGGACCCCTTGAAGGATGTCCTACTGCTGGTTTACAGGGATCGGGCCTAAACCGGCAGTCGGACATCCCTCTCGCAATCCGGGACTGCTGTCTCCTAACCGCTCACCTGCCTGCCTGCCTGCCTGATTGCCCCTAACCACTCTTCCTGCTCGCCCCCAACTGCCTCCCCTGCCAGTCTGCTCACCCCCAATTGCCCCCCCTGCTGGCCAGCTCACTCCAAACTGTTCCCCCCGCTGTCCTGATCACCTCCAACTGACCCCCACTGATGGCCTGCTTGCCCTCAACTGGCCCACCTCCTGGTATGCTTACCCCCAACGGCCCCATCCCCCACCAGCCTGATCACCCACAACTGCCCTCCCCTCTTGGCCTCTAACCACCAATACCTCGGCCCTGCCATCGTGGCTTTGTCCAGAAGAATGTCCAGAAGGTCTCCTGGAAGGTCTCCCAGTCTAATTAGTATATTACCCTTTTATTAGTATATCTAGAGGGCTGGTGCACGTGTGGGGGCCGGCTGGTTTGCCCTGAAGGGTGTCCCGGATCAGGGTGGGAGTTCCCTTGGGGTGTGGGGTGGCCTGGGCGAGGGGCCTGTGGTGCTTTGCAGGCCAGCCATGCCCCCATGAGGTGAGGGTCCTTGCTGGGGGTGTGTGGCCAGCCTGGGTAAGGGGCTGAGGGCTGTTTTTAAGCTGGCCACACCCCCTTCAGGGTGGGGGTCCCCACTGGGGTGCCTGGCCAGCCTGGGTGAGAGGCTGATGGCTGTTTGCAGGCTGGCCAAGCCCCCCAGCAGGGACCCTCACCCTACGAGTGTATGGCCAGCCTGGGTGAGGGGCTGAGAGCTGTTTTCAGGCTGGCTACACCCTCTTCAGGGTGGAGGGTCCCACTGGGGTGCCTGGCCAGCCTGGGTGAGGGGCTGATGGCTGTTTGCAGGATGGCCACAGCCCCTGGCGACCCAAGCTCCCAGCCCTTCCTTTTTTTCATTTTTTTTTTTCAGCGCCTTCTTGAGTGGAGGGAAGCAGGTATCTGGGATTTATTTATCTTCTATAGTTGAAACTTTGTTGCCTTGAGCAGAGGCCAGGGCTGGTGGGAAGCTTGGCTTCCTCCATCGCCGGGGGCAACCCAAGCCTCCTGCTGGCAGCTCCATGGCTGCTGCCATCTTATTTGGGTTAATTTGCATGCTTGCTCCTGATTGGCTGGTGGGCGTGGCTTGTGGGTGTAGCAGAGTGACACCAATTTGCATGTTTCTCTTTTATTAGTGTAGACTAGAGGCCCGGTGCACAAAAATTTGTGCACTCGGGTGGGAAGGGGGGGTCCCTCAGCCTGGCCTGTGCCTCTTGCAGTCTGGGACCCCTTGGGAGATAACGCCCTGCTGGCTTAGGCCTGCTCCCAGGTGGCAGAGGGCAGGCCTAATCCCTAGGTGCAGCCCCTCGTCGGGTTCAGAGCAGGGCCGATTGGGGAGTTGGGGCGTCGCCCCCTGTCATGCACAGAGCAGGGCAGATTGGGAGGTTGTGATGCCACCCTCAGTCATGCTCAGGGTATGGCCGATTGGGGGGTTGGGACACTGCCCCCTGTCACACTCAAGGCAGGGTCGATTGGGAGGTCGCGGCGCCACCCCCTGTCACGCACAGAGCAGGGCCAATCAGGGGGTTGGGACGCTGCCCCCTGTCGCACACAGAGCAGGGCCCATCAGGGGGGTTGAGGAGCTCCCCCCTGTCACCCACAGAGCAGGGCTGATCAGGGGGTTGGGGCGCCACCACTCTCACACTCAGGGCAGGGCTGATGGGAAGGTTATGGCTCTACCCTGTCATACACAGAGCAGGGCCCGTGGGGGGTGGGGTTGGGGCGCCACACCCTGTCACACACAGACCCGCAGGGCGATCAGAGGGTTGGGGAGCTCCCCCGTATCAGGCACAGAACAGGGCTGATCAGGAGGTTGGGGCGCCTTTCCTTGTCACGAACAGAGCAGGGCAGATAGGGAGGTTGTGGCCCCGCCCCCTGTCACACACAGAGCCACAGGGCGGTTAGGGGGTTTGGGCGCTGCCCCCTGTCACGCTGATCCCGGTGCTGGGAGGCATATTACCCTTTTACTATATAGGATAGAGGCCTGGTGCATGGGTGGGGCTGGCTGGTTTGCCCTGAAGGGTGTCCTGGATCAGGGTGGGGGTCCCCACTGGGGTGTCTGGCCAGCCTGGGTGAGGGGATGATGGCTTTTTTCATCTGGTCACACCCCCTTTAGGGTGGGGGTTCCCACTGGGGTGCCTGGCCAGCCTGGGTGAGGGGCTGAGGGCTGTTTTCAGGCTGACCAGTGACTGAAGCTCCCAGCTGCTCCTTTTTTTCTTTTTTTCTTTTTCTATTCTGGGCCAGCTTTAGCTCTGAGGCTCCCTTCTTAGGCCTCCGCTGCTGAAAGCAGGTATCTGGTTTGTTTCAGTTCTATAATCGAAACAATGTATAACTCCAGCTCTGAGATCCCGGCTTGCTGAAAGCAGGTTTCAGGGGTTTTGTTTAGCTTCTATATTTGTTACAGTGTTTCTTAAACTGCAGGCTCAGAGGCCGGCAAGGCAGGCGGGGAACGTTGGAGTCCTCCATCACTGAAGCAAACAAGCCTCATGTTAGTTTCAAGCTGCCTGGCTGCCTGCCGCCATCTTGGCTGGCAGTTAATTTGCATATCGTCCTGATTAGCCAATGGGAAGGGTAGCAGTTGTATGCTAATTTCCATGTTTCTCTTTTATTAGATAGGATTAGTTTTAGTTGTGTAGCATAATGGTTAGATAATTATATTAAATCTTATTTGTAAGAAATAACTGCTAGTCCAACTACTGCCTGTTTACATGATCTGTTTTGATCTTATTAGTGCAACCAAGTTACAACTCCTGCTTGTAGAATCAAGCCTTCAGCTTAAGTTTTTCATTTTTACATTGGACAAGATTGTCTTAGTCTTATCTACTACTCTGATCGGCTTAGATGATGATAAGTCACCAATGCTTTCAGCTCATATAGGCTTCCTACCCAACCAGCTCATTCAATAGAACTTTTGTTGTCTCACCTGGACAGAGCAAATGGTGCCATCTGCAATTGTGTGTGTGTATCTTTCCCAATCCAAGCTATATTAGGAGAGTGATTGATTTTATTCTTCATTGACTTTTTTTTCTTCTTTTTTCTCATGTAAATTGTTTGGCATTTTGTTTTGTAGAAATAAATTTTAAGTTTGTTTATTAGATAGGCAAGGGTTTTTAAAAAAATAAATGAAAAAGTGCATTTTGTTCTCTGTGCAACAAAGATGATCATATTTATTGTGAAGACCAATTAATTTTAATTCACTTGGTTGTGACTTTTTATTTTTATTTATTTATTTATTTTTATTTTTTAAATATATTTTATTGATTTTTTACAGAGAGGAGGGGAGAGGGATAGAGAATTAGAAACATTGATGAGAGAGAAACATTGATCAGCTGCCTCCTGCACACTCCCTACTAGGGATGTGCCCGCAACCAAGGTACTTGACCGGAATCGAACCTGGGACCCTTCAGTCCACAGGTCAATGCTCTATCCACTGAGCCAAACCTGTTAGGGCGGTTGTGACTTTTTAAAAGAGATTTGATATCTTATATATAGATTTTTGATAAACTTACTTTTGCTTTCTCAATCCCTTTAGAATTGGTCTGCAAGGTGATGTGACCGATCCAAGGACGAATAGCTTCTTATATATTCTAGATATTCTCCCAAGGTAAAAACCTTAGATTCCTGTACAAGCTTACCTTAAATTTAAAACCGTGGATCTGGCAGAATGTGATGGACATTTTATAGAGATTAGCAGTTTATACGTGCTGCCTGCAGATACTGTGCATGTCATTTATCTTCTGCCATGAATAATAAGATAACTGCAAATGTTTGCTGATTCCACAGTTGCCACTACAGTGAGTGACAGGGAATTACAGCCTAATAGCTAAATTCTGTTGCCTCTGCTCATAGTATTAATGCACATGAAGCGTCTGTTAGCGAATGCTGTTGTCCATGGCCTGGAAGCCTGTGCTAGCCCTGTGTAAATGGCAGCCTTTGAGTTGCATCAGAGGCTCTGTGTGAACCCATGTTTTGAGATAAACTCAATGGAAATTAACATTTCAAATGTTAACTTTATCAGGTATGCCATGATTATGGGGAAAATGAATAAAATATGAGTTATCTTCATCCCTTATAAAATTCTTTTATAAAAAATGAGAGTTTAGAAAATTGCTTACCTCATATTTCCCACAAATAAGGAATTTCTTCATTTTGTTCTTCTTAACAATGAGATTTTTGGAATTCTATTGGTTTTGTTTTTGTATTGTTTTTAGGTTACAAACATTACCGAAGTATATTCTTTTAGAAAATGTTAAAGGTTTTGAAGTATCTTCTGCAAGGTAAAGCATGTCTTTGTCCTGTGTTCATCTTAGCTGTTGTGAAATAAAGATCTTAAAAATAAACATGTACATTCTGACATTTTATATGTTACATATTTTATTCATTAATATTGATTTTGAAAAGCATCACAAAGTTAAGTTAAATTGATTCTCTCCCATTCTGATGTTTGAAATTTTCTAGAATGAGCAATTATTTTAATAAGAATGATATTTCTCAATTTTAGCTGCTTATATTGGTGCTAAGTTCTTTAGAAGTAGAAATGTTTTCAGTAAGAATTGGCCCTTAAGATCCATCAATGTTGTCATAAATGGCAGTATTTTATCTTTTCTTATGGTTGAGTAGTGTTACATTGTGTATGTGTACCATATCTTCTTTATCCAATCATCTGTTGAAGAATCTTTAGAATACCATGTTAAGTAAAGTAAGTCAGACATAAAAAGTTAAGAACCATATGATTTCACTCATGTGGAATATAAAACTGAAAGCAACAATGAACAAATAAGAAAAACAAGCAAATAAGAACTCATAGACACAGACAACAGTATGGTTGGTGGTTACCAGAGGGAAGGGAGGTGTGGGGGAGTACTTAAGGGTAAAGGGGCCAAATATATGGTGACAGGAGACTTGACTTCAGGTGATGGGCACACAATGCAATATATGGATCATGTATCATAGAATTGTATACTTGAAACCTATATAATTTTATTAACTCATGTCACCGCAATAAGTTTAATTTAAAAATAAAAAAAAAGAATTGGTCCGGTGGACAGGCTTTTTCAGTCATATAGTAAGACAGAAAAAGCCATGTGCTGGGGCTTTCAGATGGTAGCCCAGCTGGAGAGAAAGCATGCACACTTTTTATTTAGCTGCTGTCTTCAGCAGTGTTCTCCCATCTGACTTACTACAGATAGTTCCATTTCCCATAGCAAATTTAGCATCAGTAGATTGGCAATTCTGTCTCTCACCTGTTTGGATAAATTATCTGAGAGCTGTATTTATTTAAAATAGAAATTATCATTGTCTTTTTTTGAAAAATGTAATTTCTCAAGTACTGCACTTAATGAAGACCTTGGATCATTCTCCTTCTAACAACTTTGAGTGGAGGAACAGTTTTCAGTTAAAATGAAGTTTTATGTATAATATTTTATATAAGAACCTGATTCCCAACTTTAAGGTGAAAGCGTTTCTTTTTTATTTTCCTTTATTTTTGTCTTTTCAGAGACCTGTTAATAAAAACAATAGAAAATTGCGGCTTTCAGTACCAAGAATTTCTATTATCGCCAACCTCTGTAGGTACCGCAGTTATAAACTCTTATACATTTTCTCAAAGGGAATTTGAATCAGTAAGAACAGTGGTCGGCAAACTGCGGCTCACGAGCCACATACGGCTCTTTGGACCCTTGAGTGTGGCTCTTCCACAAAATACCACGTGCGGGCGTGCACATACAGTGCAATTGAAACTTTGTGGCCCATGCACAGAAGTCAGTATTTTGTGGAAGAGCCACACTCTAGGGGCCAAAGAGCCGCATGTGGCTCGCGAGCCGCAGTTTGCCGACCACTGAATAGATCTATTTGGATAATATTATAGGTAAATCTTAAAATTAATTCAGATATGGGTTTTATTTTCTAAAGAATATGAAGGCTTATAGATTCCCTTATACTTATTTTATGAAAAATATATAACTTGAGGCTCATAGAGAATATATTTTTCTTTCTATACAGAAAAAATAAGTGTGTTTTGAATATATGTGCCATATGGTATTTCCAAAATGGGTGTGCTGTAGTTTAGTAATGCTTCAGAATAATCCAAAATAGAAAAAAAAAAAATGAACATATCATAATATTTTAATTCCTTTTATTGGGACATTTTATTAATATGCAAACATTGCTTCTATTTCATGGGTAAGAAACTTATTATAAGAATTTGGTACATCTTTGATATTACAATTATCATTGTCTATTTTTATTTTGTCTTTCTGTTTGTTAGCCTATTATCATATTTTTCTGTTTTACAGTTCTTTGCCCTGAAATGAAAAGAAAACCCATTTCAAAAATTAGATGTCCATGTTTTTGTTTTCATTTTTTTATTGTTCTTATTGAACTTAAGTGTATCCTAAGATTACAAAGCAAGTACATTAAAAAATTCTTATCATTCACAATGACTTCTCTTTGGACCAGGGTTTATAGTCAACTACGTTATCGTCAACCCAAATAGCAAGGGGGAAAGAATAGATGCTGTAGATAGTAAGGGGATTGTAACCTCTATCCATCTTACTCCTTTCAGCCTGTTCATTTATTCAATAAATCTTTATTGAATGAACACTTACTTTGCACGTAGAACTGTTCTTCATGGACTGTATAAGCTAATATTACACTTTAAACCTAAAAAGAAATTAACACCAATAAACAAAATTAGATGTCCCACTGTGAAAATTGGCAATGTATCTGATCTCTAATTTTAATATTTATTGCCTTTTAACTTTAAAATGTAGTGAATCCTTTTTTTAAATAAAATGAGGTAATAAATACCCAAGAATAACTATATTTTATAGTTACTATATTATCAATAATGAATGTAAAAATGTCTATATAACTTCTTACCTGGAAAATATAAAATTAAAGTGACTCATAGACATATGATTTATCAGATTCAATCTTTATTTAATTCAAAATAAAGGTACAAAGCAACAGTTTAAAGGGTTTAAGGGTTTGTGCAAAGTAGTCTTCCACAACTCAGTAACAGAATTTTTTATGGACCAGGCTAAATGTATACCTGTATGAGGCTCTTTACTAGGTGCTAACAGTTGATAGAGATCTCTTTTATTTCCAGCTTGGCATTCCAAATTCAAGACTACGGTATTTCCTTATTGCAAAGCTTCAGTCAGAGTCATTACCTTTTCAAGCCCCTGGTCAGGTATTGTTATGGTTGTTGTTATCATCATCATTATTATATATATATATATATATATATATTAAATATATTGAATCTGCTCATTTATTTTAAGAACTACGTTGTAGAGGCTTCTATGTATGTTATTGAGGCTGTAATATAGACCATGCATAGGTCTATCCCCTGGGCCTAGCCCGTGGTCGGCAAACTGCGGCTCGTGAGCCACATGCGGCTCTTTGGCCCCCTGAGTGTGGCTCTTCCTAAGCCTTCGGAGTACCCTAATTAAGTTAATAACAATGTACCTACCTATATAGTTTAAGTTTAAAAAATTGGGCTCTCAAAAGAAATTTCAATCGTTGTACTGTTGATATTTGGCTCTGTTGACTAATGAGTTTGCTGACCACTACTAGGCTTTTTTTTCTCCTGGTGCCACATTTATTGCCTTAAACCAGTGGTTCTCAACCTTCTTAATGCCGCGACCCTTTAATACAGTTCCTCATGTTGTGGTGACCCCCAACCATAAAATTATTTTTGTTGCTACTTCATAACTGTAATTTTGCTACTGTTATGAATCATAATGTAAACATCTGATATGCAGGATGTATTTTCATTGTTCGCAACCCACAGGTTGAGAACCACTGCGGCTTAAACAAAACAAAAATTTTCTTTCATCATTAGAAAAAAAAATGAGTTAAAAGTTTAAAAAATTACCATTAGTGCAGTTACCCTCTTTTTCTCTCAACAAAATCCGTTGGTTCCGTTTTCATTGAAGTCAGTGCTATTTAGCTTTAATTGATTAAATGTAGTAATGAGTACTACAAACTACAATAAAATGCTCAGTTGCTATAGATAGTTCTATCTAATTGTGCAAGTAGTTAAACATCCTTCTCTCAGCAATTGGTCTGAATAATAGAGTTTCAGTGGTTCAGTGAAGCTCTTCATAACTATCACAGGTGAGAACCTAAAAGTCATGTCCTACAGTGGGTCAATAGTGTCATTTTAATCCCCTGCAATACAGTACCAATACATCTCCCTTCCCATAGTGGGCAATTCCAAAAAGAATGTACAAAGCATTTTAACAAAGACTTCATTAAAAATTCCTGGAACCTTTTTTTTTGTACAAAATAGGACATTATACATGGTTACATGTTTTGCAGGAACAAGTTTTTCCTATGAGACTCAGGAGTAGAAATACCCTTTCAGAGTGAAAAATGCTTTTCTTTTTTTAATTACTAGTTTTCCTTTAGATCTTGGGTATGTTCCAGTTTTTCTTCTTTGATGAAGGGGATGGCAAACTTGAATCCAAAGTGCATTTTGTAGAAATGTTAATGTTGCTTCTAAACTTTTTTCACAGATATGATGCTCTACATTTAGTCAACATATTTCCTGTTACTTTGTTGAATTTTTTTATTAATAAATACACAAAGCAGCAATTCCTTGAAATAAATAATCTGCAGTCAGATGATACTATAGCTATATGAAGAATAACTTGTAATAACTCGTATAAGTACAAATAAACCACACTTTTTATCTTTCAAATGACAACTTTATAAAGGCTAAAATAATTTTTGCATAATGTTGACTGGACATTATTAATTTCTTTTATTTTTAATAAAGCTTTGGACAATGTGTATATTTTTGTTTAATGCCAGGTGCTGATGGAGTTTCCCAAAATGGAATCTGAACATCCTCAACAACATGCAATAGATGCAGTAAATAAAATTGAAGGAAAGAAAATTGAACCAAATATTTGCTTTGATAGCAGCAGACAGTGTTCAAGGAAAGAAGCCATTCTTTTTAAGCTTGAAACTGCAGAAGAAATTGAGCGGAAACATCACCAGGACAGTGACCTCTCTGTGCAAATGCTAAAAGATTTTCTTGAAGATGATATTGACATGAATCAGTACTTTTTACCACCAAAGTCATTGCTGCGATATGCTCTTTTGTTAGACATTGTTAAGCCCACTTGCAGAAGATCCATGTGCTTTACAAAAGGGTAGGTTTTAAAGAGAGACTATTCATGATATATCCAAAATAACCAGTTTTTTTTTATACCTGTTGTCTCTTTTAGTTCTTCTCAAAAAAAGGAGCATTTTATAAAATGTTTCTGCTAGAATGTGTTTTTTTTTCCCACCCTTAATTGCCTGCTTTCATGTTCCAGTAGAATACATGAGTGAAAAGTCCTTCTGGCAGAACCTTATATACACAACCCATAAAAGTGCTCATAAAAGATGATGCCATTTGTCTGGTGACTTCCATGGGAGCGTAAAACATGGTTTCTGTACAGGGTAAATTACTAATTTTTTAGCACCTTTCATTTTATGCCACATCAGACCTCAAAAGTTTATGTCTTCTCTCATGATCAATATATAAGAAGAAATTAAATTTTAGTATCAAAATACAAAATTGAATCATCTAGCTCATGTTAGAGTATATTTTAAATTTTATTCCGTTTTTTAAATAAGAATAAATTCTCCTAGTTCAAATTACAAAAGGCACTAAGATTTTAAGACTCCCTTCTACTCTGTCTTGGCCATCCAGTTTTCCTCACTACGTGTAACCAGTGGTTTCAATTTACTGTCTCATCTTCCAGAGGTATTATGTGTGAAGGTGCATTTAAATACACATCTGTATTTTAACCCCTCCTTTAAGAAGTGGTAACATATTATATCTATTTTTATGTATGTGCCCCCCTTTTTTTTTTGCACAATATAAATTGGGTATTATTGCATATAAGTACATAAAGAACTTTTCTATTCTCGTGGTATGGGTATAGCATCATTTCTTTTACTGGTTACCTTTGGGTTATTTCTTGAATGTTAATATGTTTTCACACCAATATTTTAAAACCTAGACAGAAGGGAAAATTTAGGTCTTTCCAGAAAATGTGAAAGATCCCTGATTTAGCTTTGTTAATTCCATTCAACTTCATTTGATATGTAGTCTTCTCTTTTTACTTACTAGCTACCTATCTTGCACAAGACACTATGTTCATGATATAATCATACCAGATTCATTCTGATTTTATCATACTTTGCCCCTGTACTTCCAGGAGAACAGGTTTATTGCTTTTCATTACCTTAAAAGACTTCACTCAGCTGTTGTCTTTTTCCAAGTCTAATAGGTTCTTTTTAGGATTCTAATAAAACAAGACATCAATTTTATAATAAAAAACAGCTTTGCATTTTTTTGTAGCTATAAAGATGGTATAAAAGAAGCCTTACTGTAAAAGTCCATTTTAGTGTGGATAATACAAATATACATATATAATATGTGAGAAAACAATTTGATAACAATTTGTCCCTGCTGTGACTTTCTTTAATTTATTTACTTTATTTATTTTTTTATATATTTTATTGATTTTTTACAGAGAAGAAGGGAGAGAGATAGAGAGTTAGAAACATCGATGAGAGAGAAACATTGATCAGCTGCCTCCTTTCTTTAATTTATACTTTAAATTGATCTATTAGGAAAAATAATACTGATAATATGTTGAACAACCAGCTTGGCAATGATCTTAGGGGAAGAAATATTACTAATACCTTGTAGTATTCTCATTGTTGTACGGAAAGAGGAAAAATGTACTGTGTTACAGTCAGAGGCAGATGCATATTGAGTCGGCGCATGTTTGTCATGATACTGGAGAGTGGGACCTTGTGTTCATGAGAAGAAATGATGGTCTGGCATTATAAAAAAAAGAGCAGCAATTTATTTTTACCTGCCTAACATTTGGTTTAAAGTAGAAGGGATATAAGTATGGAATAGTTTTTAGATATAAAATTGGAACAAGTTCATACTTACAAGTGATGAACATTTTAAAAATGACAGTACAAAGAAATGGCAATTGATAATACATAATTCAAAATAGTATTTACACAACTCAAAAAACTTCCAAATTTAGTGTCTGAGAAGCTTAAATAAAATGACCTTATACCCCTCACCCAGTTATTATTAAATCATTAAGCCTATTTATGTGATGATATCCAGAATATTGCAGAAGGATAGAATTATGTAGATTGATTAATTTATTCAGGAAATATTTAAGAAATTTTGCATTAACAAATACATTAGATAATATTTGTGTTAATTTTTCAGTTATGGGAGGTACATAGAAGGGACAGGATCTGTGTTACAGACTGCAGAGGATGTGCAGGTACTATGCATGCTTTAGAACTTAATTATTTGAAAATTATTTTAAATAAAATTATTTTTAATACTTAAAATTTGAGAATGTCAAAATAATTTTACATGTTCTATTGGAAATGGATATATATTATTCATATTTATATTCATATATAGTAATCTTTACTATAGAAAATTTTCTTGCTGCATAAGTTTATATAAAAAGAATATTTTATGTTTTTATTCTTGCCTTCTGTATTTTTTATTCTATAAAGAGTAAGTTGACATGCAGTGTGCAACAGTTAATTTCTCTAAAATTATGTGCAAATATCTTAAAATGGGGATTTCTTTTGGAGCACATACTATGACTTTTAAGGAGAGAAGTCTATGTTTTAGCAAAACATTTTATTAATATTTCAATTTTAAACTCTTTATAGTATCATGGTTGAATGTAAGCTTGATATTTTGCAAGTTTTATACTTTTGGATAAGTTTGAAATGAAATCACATTATCTTCTTTTATAATGATTTAAACTCATTATTAATAAGATCTGCCTATTTAACATCCTATCAGAGGCAACTGAATGTCTGTATTTGAGAAATCATATTTATTAAATATATTTTATTGTTTTAAGAAAATGTTATGAAATTGATAATAAACAGTAAACATTTTAATGATGTATCTGTTAAACATTGTAAAATTGACCTCATTGATCAAGTTTTTTTTATATTTCCCTCTATTTTTTGTTATATTGTCTTTTATTATTTATATTCTTACTTAATTTTTGAGGAATCAAAAATGACAGATACATTGCAAGTATCCTGATCTGTTGAACATTAAGGTTTTGTCCATTTTCAAAGTTTATATTGCCATTGATGAGCCAAATATGTAGTTTATTGAAGAGACATTTTGCCCTGGGCTGTCATGTGTTACAGCAGACATTCCATCGTTTTTTTTAAGCTGTCTCACAAAAGGTGATCTTATCTTAACAAATCTGATTGCCGTCTACTTCATCAGTTACCTTGGGGCTTTTCTTACAGATTGAGGATATCTACAAATCTCTTACCAATTTGTCACAGGAAGAAAAGATAACAAAATTGTTAATGCTTAAACTTCGATATTTCACTCCTAAAGAAATCGCAAATCTTCTTGGATTTCCTCCAGAGTTTGGTATGTGGGGTACACGCAGACCTCAGCTTTTGTTTATTAAAGATCCCAAAAATGCATTAGGGAATCATATGTGTATTTTATGAAGAAATCTTTGCTTAGACAGATGGATGTAAGAAACCTCATTTCTTTCCTGATTGCGCAATTACTGAAATTTTTCTTTCCTCACCTTTCACATTCATTTATACCTGCCTCAGACCAGCCCCTTCAATCTTGTGTCCCTCCTCCTTCACTCCAGTTACGGTCCTGAGTGATTTTCAGGGACAAGGGGCCAAATCAGCAATTTCCCGCCTCCTTCATGGATGGATGTTGATAATATCTTTCTCCAGCTTATTTTCTTTCTCCCAGAGGTCCTGTTTTAATAATAACCAAACATTAGATTGTGTGAAAAAATGCCTAGAATTGTCTTTTTTATGAAGAAATTAAAAGGAGATTGAGGAACTTATTTATTATTTTTGTGTGAGGGATTTATTCTCCTCGAAGATGCGTTCTTATCACTCATGCGTTTTTGTCCTTTCCTATAATGTGTAAGTGGAGAAAAGAGAAGGTGGAGAAGCAGTCTAGGAAGGAGCTGTCCTAATGGAAAGAAAGGGTGACTCAGGACACAGGTGCCAGAACCTATGAAAATGAGGGGATCTGACGCAGGGAATCCCAGGAACAAAACTAAGACAGATGCAGCTGTAGAGAAAGACAAAGTCCTAACTCTTTTCCCAGTCCAGGAATTCCAGGGGCTGTTGCTATTAAGAGATGGGGACACATTGCCTTTCCTTCTTAGAGCTGCCCTGTCTCTTCCTGGTCCCTTTTCCTGGGCACCTGTGCTCTCCCCTGTATGGATGGCGTGTCTTAGGCTGGGGTGGCTGTGCTCCCAGTACCTGGCTCACGAGAAGGGGAAAGACAGGCCTCCTTAACGTGCTTCCAGGGCTACACCAGGAGGGCATGTGTTTTTGATAACTCTGAAGTTTGAAGGCAGAAAAGCCAAATTGCTAAATCCAATGCTATTGTAAGAGTAATGCAGTGCTGTTCTTGAAGCGCATAATGGGCTAAATAGATCATGTTTTAAATTCTAAATAATGGATTTACAGATGAAGTTTTAGAGCACATTCTTTTGTGCAGATAACAAACTGCTAATACAATCTGACTACCCTCTTGGTAATAGATTCTCTGAGCATAGTCACAGCAACCAGGTTTGTTTTGTAGTCTCCCTTTTTCTTGGTGAGCTCATTCAGTCACAGATATCCTGGGGAGTGTTATTTAAGAAAAACAGACTTTTTTGGGTCTAGTTTATGTCACAAAATGAGAGAGAGCATCATAAAACAAACAAAGAGCTGAGAGTTAAACTCAAGAATTTAATTCTCAGTCTGCTCTCCTTGTTGTTATTTTTTCTTTTTTACAATGAACAATCAAAGGTATTTTCAGCAGTACTAAAGGGAGAAAAGAGATTTACTATGTAATAACAGGTAATTCCTAAGTTTTATTTGAGTTCTTTTTCAAATAGTACTCATCAGTTTCATAGTATTGAAACTAAGCATGTACCCCAGATTCAGACTGGCTGAGTCTGAATCCTCGGTCTACCTAACCACTCTCTGCCTTAGTTTACACATCTGTAAAATGGTAATAATTGCAGCACCAAATTCAAAGGGTTGTTGTGACAAGTAAGTTAGTATATGTAAAATGTTTACACCCTGACACATAATATAAAATGTAAGTGTCAGCCTTTATTTTGTAAATCATAAACATTTATTTGTTTTTATAGCCTTTACTTTGTAAAGATTTTTTCTCATTATTTAAAAATTTTAGATGGATAAAATTAGAGTTTTTCATAGCTCTCTGAAAATATATGTATAGTACACACAAAAAAGCTTTTTCCATTGGTTAGCCTTTTTTCAAATATGTGATCTGTGTGTATGGTCAGACTTGCCCTGATGTCCTCACTGAGCAGCACTCTGACAGAACTGTCCTTCCCATGCGCTTTTGACATTGACTCCAGTCCAAAATGGGCACTGTGTGAGCTGCCCGTCCACTGGCAATGATGGATGTTCATTGACTTTTCCATACACTTGTCCTGGTTCCCTTTGTGACTGGTGGCATGCATTTGTGAGACAGCAGTCTTTGGAAGAGAGGAACACTCATCTATACTTACTAAAGGAAAGCTGCGAACTTGACCTCATTAATTCTGTTCTTTTTTTTTTATTTGTCTATGAGGATTATTATTATTTTTAATGTATCTAAGTTTTTTTAAAAGACATCTTTTAAAAAATTATGTAATCTTTCCAGGAGCTAGCTTAGATTTTAATATCTATATTTAGATACAAAATATACAGACATATAAAATTTTTATAAATCTGACTTGTTTTCAAATTTATATTGCAAAAGATCGTCTTTACAATATTTTAAAAGTCTGTAGGTATATTTGTACCTCTGGATACTTTGAACTTACTAATTTTTCAGATGACTAATATGCTTGCCTAAGACATACTATCTTTATAATAGCAATTTTGTTATTATATTGCAAATATAGTTTTACTATGCAATTGCATAGTAAATCGCAAATATAGTTTTACAATGGCAATCACTGTTATTTTATTGTAGTAAATATAATGTCAAGTGTTGATGAAGCAACTTTATCCTAATCAGCTCTACCTTTTCGTTCTCACAAGTGTATGAAATGCTGCTATTCTTTTTTTTTTAAGTATTTTCTATTGATTTTTTGTATAATTTTTTAAAAAATTATCTTTATTGTTGAAAGTATTATAGATGTCCCCTTTCTTTTCTTTTCTTTTTTTTCTGTTTTCCATGGACCCACTCCACTCCACACTGGCACCTCCCAGGCCTTCACCATGGGCTATGCATATATGCATATAAGTTCTGTGGTTAATCTCTAACCTCTACTCCCCACCCTGCCTTCCTTCATTTTATTATCTCCTTGCTTCTCTTTTATATAATTGCTATGCCAAAGGATACTGACTGTGAATTTCTAACATTGTAACTAACATGCTCTACACTCTGAGGCATATATAATCTTTTATGTTGATACTCACAAGGCTTTGTTCCAGCATATGTAGTCTCTTGTGCGCCATTTTGTTTTAAAAAAGAATGTAACAAATACAAGTTCACTATGAGAAAGTTAATTTTTGGAAGCACAATATTAAAAAAAACAGCTGTGAGGAACTTGTACCCAAAATATATATAAAGAACTCTTACAACTCAACTATAAAAAGAAAAATAATCGAATTTTAAAATGGGCAAAGGATTTGTATAGACATTTCTCTGAAGAAGATAGACAAATGGCCAATAAGCACATGAAAAGATGTTCAACATCATTAGTTATGAGGGAAATGTAAATCAAAACTACAGTAGATACCATTTCACAAAAAAAGCCAGGAACAGTGCCGAAAAAGATGTGGAGAAAGCAGATAACGTGTATATTGCTGATGGGAATATCAAATGACACAGCCGCTTTGGAAAAACAATCTGACAGTTTCTCAGATGTTGCATGTAGAGTTTTTGTGTGACCCAGCAATTTTACCCCTGCAGGTGTCCCAGAGAATGAAAAATAAATGTCCATGCAAAAACGTATACTTAATGTTCATAACAGGTTTATTCATAATAATTAAAAAGTAGAAAAAAACCCCAAACTTCTATCAATGAATGAATGGATAAATAAAATGTAGTATATCCATACAATAGAATGTACTTCGCTGTAGAAGAGGAATGAAGTATTGTTACATTCTGGAACGTAAGTGAGCCTGGAAAACATTATGCTTAGTGAAAGAAGCCAGACACAAAAGCAGCATATTGTATGGTTCCTTTTATATGAAACTAGAAGCCCGTGCCGCCTGTGCCTTCTCGCAGTCTGGGACCCCTCGCTCCTTACCGCCCGCCTGCTTGCTGCTCCTTACTGCTTGGCTTGTTGCTCCTTAGTGCTGCCGCTGAAGTGAGAGAGGCTCCTGCCACTGCCGCTGTGCTCGCCAGCCATGAGCCCGGCTTCTGGCTGATCAGCGCTCCCCCTCTGGGAGCGCACTGACCACCAGGAACAGCTTCTGCGTTGAGCGTCTGCCCCCCTGGTGGTCAGTGTGCATCATAGCAACCAGTCATTCTGGTTGTTCCGCTGTAACGGTCGCTTAAGCTTTTATTATATAGATGTTCAGAACTGGCGAATCCACAGAAACAGAACGTAGATTACTGGTTGAGGGGCAGGGAAGGGAAATGGTAAGTGACCACTAATGGGTACTAGCTTTTAAAAAAGTTGAGGTGTAATTGACATATAATATTATGTCAGTTTCAGGTGTACAGCAGTGATTGGATATTCGTATACGTTGTGAAATGGTCAACACAATTAGTTAACAATAAGTCTAGTTAACATCTTTCACCATACATAGTTACAATTTTTTTTGTGTGATGATGACTTTTAAGATATACCCTCTTAGCAGCTTTCAAATATGGAATACAGTATTATTAACTACTAAAGGCCTGGTGCACGAAATTCATGCATGAGGGTGGGGGCGTTCCCTCAGCCCAGCCTGCACCCTCTCCAATCTGGGACCCCTCGGGGGATGTCTGACTGCTGATTTAGGCCTGATCCCGGACATCCCTCTCACAATCCTGGACCACTGGCTCCTAATTGCTCACCTGCCTGCCTGCCTGCCTGGTTGCCCCTAACTGCTCTCCCCCCCCCCCACCCCGGCCTGATCGCCCCTCACTGCCTCCGTGTGCTGGCCTGATTGCCCCTAACTGTCCCCCCACCCCCCGCCGGCCTAGTCACCCCTTATTGCCCCCCTTGCCAGCCTAATCATCCCCAAGTAACCCCCTGCTGGCCTGGTCGCCCCCAACTGCCCCCCTCTGCTGGCCCGGTTGCCCCCTACTTCCCCGCCCCGCCAACCTGGTCACCCCCAACTGCCCCCCCTGCTGGCTTGGTCGCCCCTCACGGCCCCCCCACCAGCCTGGTCACCCCACGCAGCCTGCTTGTTCAGTCATTTGGTCGTCCCTCACTAACCCCCCTGCTGGCCTGGTTGCCCCACACAGCCTGCTTGTTTAGTCGGTTGATCGTCTCTCACTAACCCCCTGCCGACCTCAGCCATCTTGTGAAGGCATGAGGGTTAATTTGCATATCACGTCTTTATTATATAGGACTAGAGGCCCGGTGCACAAAAATTTGTGCACTGGCAGGGGAGTGTCCCTCAGCCCCACTTGTGCCCTCTCACAGACTGGGACCCAACGGGAGATAACGACCTGTTGGCTTAGGCCCGCTCCCGGGTAGCAGAGGGCAGGCCCAATATCTAGGTGCCCACCCGGCAGCCCCTGGTCGGGCTCAGAGCAGGGCCGATTGGGGAATTGGGGTGCCACCCCCTGTCATGCACAGAGCAGGGCGGATCGGGAGGTTGCGATGCCACCCCCAGTCACGCTCAGGGTAGGGCCGATTGGGGGGTTGGGGTGCCGCACCCTGTCACACTCAAGGCAGGGTCGATGGGGAGGTTGCGATGCCACCCCCTGTCACACACAGAGCAGGGCCAATCAGGGTGTTGGGGCGCTGCCCCCTGTCACACACAGAGCAGGGCCCATCAGGGGGTTGGGGTGCTGCCCCCTGTCACGCACAGAGCAGGGCCGATCAGGGAGTTGGGGAGCTACCCCCTGTCACGCACAGAGTAGGGCCGATAGGGGAGTTGGGGCACTGCCTCCTGTCACACACAGAGCAGGGCGGATCAGGGGGTTGTGGCCCCGCCCCCTGTCACACACAGAGCCACAGGGCGATCAGGGGGTTTGGGTGCTGCCCCCTGTCAGGCTGCTTCAGGGGCCAGGAGGCCTCGCGGCTCCACTGATCCCAGTGCTGGGAGGCCTCGCGGCTCCGCTTGACATCAGGGCAGTGAGGCCTCACTGCTCAGCTGATCCCGGTGCTGGGAGGCATATTACCCTTTTACTATATAGGATAGAGCCTGGTGCACGGGTAGGGGCCTGCTGGTTTGCCCTGAAGGGTGTCCTGGATCAGGTGGGGGTCTCCACTGGGGTGCCTGGCCAGTCTGGGTGAGGGGCTGAGGGCTGTTTTCAGGCTGGCGGGTGACTGAAGCTCCCAACCTCTCCTTTTTTTCTTTTTTTATTCTGGGATTCATTTACCTTCTATGGCTGTCACTGGAACTGAGAGCCGGCTTTAGCTCTGAGGCTCGGCTCCAGCTCTGAGACCTCGGCTGCTGAAAGCAGGTATCTGGGTTTGTTTGGCTTCTATAATTGAAACACTGTTTCAACTCCAGCTCCGAGGCCAGCCAGCTGAAAGCAGGTTTCTGGGGTTTGTTTAGCTTCTATAATTGAAACATTGTTTCTTAGAGTTGCAGCTCAGAGACTGGCAGCGGCAGGTGGGGAACTTCGGCTTCCTCCTTCACTGGAGCAAGCACGCCTCCTGTTCGCTTCAGCTGCCTGGCTGCCGGCTGCCATCTTGGTTGGCAGTTAATTTGCATATCTTGCTGATTAGCCAATGGGAAGGGTAGCGAAGTTACAGTTAATTACCATGTTTCTCTATTATTAGATAGGATAGTCATCATGCTGTATATTACATCTTCATAACTTATTTATTTTATAGCTGGAATTTTGTACCTTTTGATCCTCTTCACTCATTTTGCCCCCCTCCATCACCGCCTATCTGTTCTCAGTGTCTATGAGCTTTTTTGTTGGTTTTCTTGCTTGATTTACTTTTTAGATTCCACATATGAGTAAGATCATACGGTCTTTCTCTCTCTGACCTCACTTAGCATAATGCCATCTCCGTCCATGTTGTCGCAAATGGTGAGATGTCATTTTTTTTATGGCTCATAGTATTCTGTTGTATATACTGTATATACGACATTTTCTTTTCTATTCATTTATTGATGGACACTTAGGTTATTTCCATACCTTGGTTACAGTAAATAATGATGTAGTGGGTACTTAAGTGTGTATATCTTTTCTAATTAGTGTTTTTGTTTTTATTGGGTAAATACCCAGAAGTGAAATTACTGAATCATATGGTAGTTCTATTTTTTAATTTTTTGAGAAGCTTCCATATATTTTCCACAGTGGCTTAACCAGTTTGTAGTCCCATCAACAGTGTATATCCTTGCCAACACTGTATAGTACTTGTCTTTTTAATGATAGCCATTCTTACAGGTGTGGAGTAATATCTCATTGTAGTGTTGATTTTTATTTCCCTGATGCTTAGTGATGTTAGGCTTGTTTTTATGAGACTATTGACTGTTTGTATGTCTTCTTTGGAAAAATGTCTATTCCTCTGCTAATTTTTAATTGAATTGCTTGGTTTTTTTATTTTGTTTTGTTTTTTGCTATTGAGTTATATGAGTTCTTTATATATTTTGGATATTAACCCTTTATCAGATATCTAATTTACAAGTATTTAATATTTTCTCCCATTCAGTAGGTTGGTTTTTTTTTTAAATCAACACCCAAGTATATTTTTTCATTGATTTTTAGAGAGAGTGGAAGGGAGAGAAGGGGAAGGAAGGGAAAAAGGGAGGGCGGGAGTGGAAGAGAAAGAGAGAGATAGAGAGAGAGAGAGAGACAGAGAGAGAACAAGAGAGAGAGAGAGAGAGAGAGAGAGAGAGAGAGAGAGAGAGATCCATGTGAGAGAGACACATTAACTGGTTGCCTCCTGCACACACCCCAACCTTGGCCAGGGATCAAGCCAGCAACTGAGGTCTACAGGCCAATGCTCTAACCACTGCACAACCAGCCAGAGCTGGCTTTTTGTTTTGTTGATGATTGTTTTTTTTCTGTGTAGAAGCTTTTTAGTTTTAGTCTTACTTGTTTATTTTTGCCTTTGCTTTTGGAGTTATATACAAAAATATCATCTACAAGACCTTACCACCTATGTTTTCTTCTAGGAGTTTGATGGTTTCAAGTCTATGTTCAAGATTAAAGACAATTTTGAGTTAATTTTTGTGTACAATGTAAGATAGTCTATTTTCATTCTTTTGTATGTGACTATCCAAATTTTCCAACACTGGTAATTGAAAAAATATCCTTTCCCCATTTTATATTCTTGCCTCCTTTGTCATAAATTAATTGGCCATATATCCATGGGTTTATTTCTGGGTGCTCTATTCTGTTCCATTGATCAATAACTCTGTTTTTATACCAATACCATGCTGTTTTGATTACTTTATGTTTCTAATATAGTTTGAAATAAGGGAGTGTGATGCTTCCAGCTTTCTTCTTCTTTCTCAAAATTGTTTTTACTATTTGGGTCTTTTGTGATTCCAAATAAATTTTAGGACTATATGTTCTATTTCTGTGAAAATAGTCATGGGGATTATATTAGGTATTGCATTGAATCTGTAGATTGCTTTAAGTAATATGGACATTTTAATAATGTTAGTTCTTCTAATCCATGGGTACATGATATCTTTACATTTATTTCTGTCTTCTTCAATTTCTTTCATCAGTGTGTCATAGTTTTTAGCATACAGCTCTTTCACATCCTTGGTTGAATTTCTTCCTAAGTATTATATTCTTTTTGATGCAGTTACTAGTATAAATTGGATTGTTTTCTTAATTTCTCCTTCTGATAGTTCATTATTAGTGTATAGCAACACAACAGATTTTTGTAAGTTAATTTTGTATCTGCAACTTTACTGAATTTGTTTATTCTAACCATTTTTGGTTTAGTAGTTAGGGTTTTTGCATACAATGTCACATCATCTACAAATAGTGATTGTGTTACTTCTTCCTTTCCAATTTGGATGCCTTTTATTTCTTTTTCTTGTATAACAGTTCTGATGAGAACTTCCAATACTATGTAGACTAAAAGTGGTGAGAATGGACATTCTTGTCTTGTTCTTGATCTTAGAAGAAAATTTTCAGCTTTTCACCATTTAGTATAATGTTAGCTATGGGTTGGCTTTCTTTTTCAGATGATTAAAATGTTCTGGAATTGCCATGGCCAATGTTCTCAGTGGTTAGAGCATCTGCCCATGCATGGAAAGGTCAAGGGTTCATTTCCAGTCAAGGGCATGCACCTAGGTTGCAGGTTCAACCCCCAGCCCTGGCTGAGACTCATGTCGGAGGCAACTAATCTATGTGTCTCTCTCACATCAATGTTTTTCTCCCCCCCCTGCCCTCCCCCCCCCGCCATATCTTTCTCTCTCTCCCCCTCCCTGCTTTCCACTCTTTCTAAAAATCAATGGAAAAAAATATCCTCAGGTGAAGATTAACAACAACAAAATGCTCTAGAATTATAATGGAGATGTATGCAAAACTTGTGACTATACTAAAAACCACTGAATTGTACATTTTAAAAGGGTGACTTTTATAGAATGTGATTTGTATCTTCAAAAACCTGTTATTAAATAAAACACTGTGAAATAATGGTAGCTACTGATTTTTCTAAAGTACACTAATATACAAATATCTAGGAGTACTGTGGATGTTATATGTATATGTGTGTGTGCACAGCACGTAGTATGATATGTAATGTGATATGACAACGTCACATTGTGTACACAAGGTACTCTTACATACTGTTTTTAGCTCTAAATCTCTAAATTCTCATTTGTTAATTGAACTTCGTAGAGACCTTAGGGACTTATTTATGTAAATGACCACTGTGCTCTTACTGAAGTATATATCCTTTTATCTCTGAAGTTATTATTACAAATGATTGTATTACAAATTGTTCTCTCTCATTTCTAGGATTTCCTGAGAATATAACAGTGAAACAGCGTTATCGACTACTTGGAAATAGTCTCAACGTACATGTAGTAGCTAAACTAATCAAAGTACTATACGGATAATCTTAAATGACTTTGAAAGATGGTTACAGTATTCCTTCATATCCAGACGGTAATTCTGAAATTCCAGTTTAATTAATTTTGATGAAATTCAACTACATTACCTTAATCTCTCATAACAAATTTGAATGTATCACAAAAATGCCAATTTGTTTCCTTACATTTATATTATGTCTTTTGTAAAGTGAAATTATTGTTATTCTTTAGGTGAATATATTTTCACATGAAGTCATTAAATATATATCTAATATTCTTTTTTATAATATGGTATTAAATAACTTTAGGAACATTAGGATTTTAATGTTTTCATCAATATTTTATACAGAGACATAATAGGCATATTGTAATGAATCTGAGAAGTTGTATTTTTTTGTGTTAATTAAAGAAGTTGTTTTATGAATCTTGTCATTTACTTTTTTGTTAGATTATTATTTTTAATTCTAAAATAATGATTCTAATTCTAGCCTGTTTCAAATATTGAATATTTTACTTAATTTCAATTCCTTAAACATTTCTTTGTTTTACTTAAATGCTTATAATATTTTAAATCAAATTATCATCATTCATTTTATACAACAGTCTGAAGAAAGTGTCAGAAAAAATAATCCTAAATTCTTGATTACCTTTTTATTAGGAAGCCACAGAATATGGAGGTGCACATTACCTTTAATCCTATCTCCATCTGAAAGGTTAAACTCCTTCCTTCTTCATTTGTGCATATTTCCCTTCAGTTTGCTGTTAGCAGAGCTTGCTTTTGTCCTTGTTCTCAGCTTCTTGTTGTAAGTTGATTTTGTCATCACATTCTAAGGAATGTAGTTTGACATTAAGATTTTAGTTGAGTGTTGACCTATGAACCAGGAGGTCATGGTTTGATTCCCTTTCAGGGCACATGCCCAGGTTGTGGGCTCAATCTCCAGTGTGGGGTGTGCAGGAGGCAACCAATCAATGATCCTCTATCATCATTTATGTTTTTCTCTTCTTCTCCTTTCCTCTCTGATATCAATAAGAATATATTTTTAAAAAACAATTTTAGGGAGGAAACTCTGCCTTTGACCCCATTCCTTATAACTATTCTGTGAATTAACTTTAATAACTTTTAATGTTCTCTGTTTCTACCTTTGCAGTAGACTTCTTGGAATTAAAGTTTCTAACCAGTCTAAGTCTTGCATCAGAAATCCTGTGGTTTTTATTTCAGTGGTAAAATCAAGTGAAAAATGGATGAAAAAATGAAAAGAAATATGAACAGAAATTTTATAAAATTTTAATTTATATTATTATCCTTAAAAAAAACCAATAGTTTGATGTGGAGAAATTAGAACCCTGTGTGCTGCTGGTGAGAATGTAAAATGGTACAGCCACTGTAGAAAATAGATGGTGATTTCTTAAAAATATATAAACAGAATTATCATATGATCTAGCAATTCCACTTCTGAGTATTACCCAAAAAGATTCAAAGTGGGGACTTTGTCTGATATTTGTACACCGATGTTCATAGCAGCATTATTCACAATAGCTAAAAAGTGGAAACAATCAAAGTGCCCAACAGGAAATGAATGGAGAAACAAAATATGGTGTATACCTACAACAGAATATTATTCAGACCTAAAAAGGAAATTCTGATACAACATGGATGAACCCTGAAGACATTATGCTCAGTGAAATAAACCAGACACAAAAGGGGACATTTTGTGTGATTCCACTTACATGAAGTATGTGAAAGAATCCAGTTCTTAGTGATAGAAAGTAGGCTAGACGTCGCCAGGGCTTGGCACTTGGGAAGGAGAGTAGTGCTCCAAGGCTGCAGAGTTTTGTTTGCTGTGGAAAAAGCTCTGGAGATGGGTGATGGTGATAGTTGCACAACAATATGACTGTAATTAATGCCACTGAACTGTATACTTAAAAATCATTAAAATGGCAAATGTTATGTCATGTACTACATTTTACCACAAAAAGCCCAATAGTCATTCCCCCTCACCATTTTTTTTTTTTTTTCAGAAGAACTCATAAACATGGATATAGGCCAGTGCATATACAGGTGTGGGCAAAAGTAGGTTTACAGTTGTGAGATCACAAAACACAGAGTTTATATTTGTATTATAATCATAATCTGCATGTCTTTTTCATATGAACAACTTTAAACCTACTTTGGCTCACCCCTGCATATACCAATATTGCTATCTACACTTTATTTATGTGTTTAAAGACATACCTTACTATAAGTTTCATAAATGTTAGTATACAACAATTTGAAATTATTTTGGCACACTTTTACTAGGTTCTCTTCACTTTTTTTTTAACTCTTAACTTTTTTAAGAGTGTTTCTATGATTATGCTAGAATAGTAGGGTTCTATGCTCCACTGAGCAATGTTACACAAATTAAGTGTTGGGTTACAGTGCACTAATTATAAACACATGAAAGCTCTATGGAGCCATTCCTTTGCAAACTGGAAGGTAGACTACAGCTTGGTGAGATAGTTTAAATTATTGAAGTATATTCATGGGCAGATGATGATTCTTGCCCTTAATTCATAATTGAAAATATATAGTAGCAAACATAAGACTCACACCTTAATTGATGTATATTTACATGCATAATTAATTTAGAAATGTCATTTTATTGAATGCCCACTATATACTCTTGGTAATATGCATAATTTGCCCAGGAAATTTCTGATATTTGGATTTATATATTTATTCAATATTTTAGAAAATATAGCCTCTTCTTTTACAATGAATTATATGTAATTAAATCTGTGTCATTTCTAACATGATTTTTCATTCTCTTATTTGCATCACTTGTATTCTTTTAAATAGCTTGCCAAATAACTTTAAAGTATTCATTAACCTACCTCATGTTTTTAGTAGGTTTTTCAGACCCAAAAATGATAAATAAGAGATAATCAAATGACTTAATACAAACAAAATGAGTCATATTAGAAAATTATTTTGAAGAGGATATTGGGTCGTCATCATAGGAGAAAGAGCCAGAGCTTGATAATCTTTTATGAGGGGGTCTCATATAGGTTTTTTAACTTACTTTTTTTTTTTTTTTAAATATATTTTATTGATTCTTCACAGAGAGGAAGGGAGAGAGACAGTGAGCCAGAAACATCGATGAGAGAGAAACATCGATCAGCTGCCTCCTGCACATCTCCCACTGGGGATATGCCCGCAACCCAGGCACATGCCCTTGACCGGAATCGAACCCGGGACCCCTCAGTCCGCAGGCCGACGCTCCATCCTCTGAGCCAAACCGGTTTCGGCGGTTTTTTAACTTTTTAAATTCATTTCAGAGAGAGGAAGAGAGAGGGAGAGAAGGATAGAAATATCAATGATGAGAGAGAATTTTATTGATTGGTGCTTCCTGCACACTCCCTACTGGAGACCAAGCCTGCAAGCCAGGCATGTGCCCTGACTGGTGATCAAATCATGACTTTCTGGTTCATAAGTCAATGCTCAACCACTGAGCCACACCAGCTGGGCACATATAGGGTGTGTTTTTTTTAAATTTTATTTTTTTAGTTATTTTTTTCTTTATTGATTAAGGTATTACATATGTGTCCTTATACTTCCATTGCCCCCCTTCCATCCCACTCATGCCCTCACCCCCCTGTTGTCTGAGTACATTGGTTAGGCTTATATGCATGCATACAAGTCCTTTGGTTGATCTCTCCCCATTACCCCTGCCCTCCCCTACCTTCCCCCTGAGGTTTGATGGTCTGATCAATGCTTCTCAGTCTCTGGATCTGTTTTTGTGTATAAGTTTATGTTTTTCATTATATTCCACAAATGAGTGAGATCATGTGATATTCATCTTTCTCTGACTGGCTTATTTTGCTTAGCATAATGCTCTCCAGTTCCATCCATGCTGTTGCAAATGGTAAGAATTCCTTCTTTTTTACTGCAGCGTAGTATTCCATTGTGTAGATGTACCACGGTTTTTTAATCAACTCATCTGCTGATGGGCACTTAGGCTGTTTCCAAATCTTAGCTATGGTAAATTGTGCTGCTATGAACATAGAGGTGCATATATCCTTTCTGATTGGTGTTTCTAGTTTCTTAGGATCTATTCCTAGAAGTGGGATCACTGGGTCAAATGGGAGTTCCATTTGTAGTTTTTTGAGGAAACTCCATACTGTTCTACACAGTGGCTGCACCAGTCTGCATTCCCACCAGCAGTGCATGAGAGTTCCTTTTTCTCCACATCCTCTCCAGCACTTGTCATTTGTTGATTTGTTGATGATAGCCATTCTGACAGGTGTGAGATGGTACCATGTTGTCGGTTTGATTTGCATCTCTCGGATGATTAGTGTCTTGGAGCATGTTTTCATATGTCTCGTGGTCTTCCTTATGTCCTCTTTTGGAAAGTATCTATATAGGTCCATTGCCCATTTTTTGACTGGGTTGTTTATCTTTCTTTTGTTAAGTTGACATATAGGTTTTTATTAATTTGTTTGGTGTCAATATACTTTTACCTTCTCAGGAAACTTCATTATTGTTTCTTCTCCCTCATAAATATTCAAACTCACCACCTCTATCATTCCTAGCATTTACTGTGTTGAAGTCTCTTCTATATTAAAAACAATGACAGCAGGTAGAAACCTCCCTAGATTCTTGTCTTCTTTCATCGCTTCCCTTTCATAGCCAAACCTCTTAGAAAGGTAATCTGTAACTTATCTCCACTTCTTAATCACTCCTCTAACTCCTCTGCTGCTCCAATGTAGCTTTGGCCTTGGTCAGACTGCCTAAAGAGCATTTACTATCATGATCAAGGATCTATGTGTGCCTGAGGTTTTCAGACCTTATCTTCCCTGACTTAACAACAGTCTAAACTCTCTTTTTTGATACAGTTTCTCCCTTTGTCTAACATGGCATTGCATTCTTTTTTAAAAAATTAAAGTATAGTTGACATTCAATATTATATTAGTTTTAAGTGTACAACATAGTGATTCAACATTTATACATTCTAATCCTTAGTGGTAGGCAGTAGAGCCAAACGACAGATGGGAAGATATGAGTCACACTGAGGGATCACCCTGAGGGACCCCCTTCAGAGCACCCTGAACATTGTGTTCTGGCTAATAAGTCAGGTCTGCACAGTGGGCAGTGCCCTGTGCCTTAAAGAGTGAGAAAATATCTCTATCAACCAACTTGCTCTTTCTCACAAGATAGAGCCTTTTGAAAAGTCAAAAACAGTAGTTGACATTGTGAAAGTTGAGGGACTACCCAGAACTTTAAAAAATAATCAGAGTAGTGGGTAGGATTCCTTCACAAAAATCACAATCTGTCGTTTGCTCCAATTTCAACCTAGTTCAGGTCAGACGTTACTAAATGGAAGGCTTCTGAGGATAGAGAAATGAAGCTGAGAACAAACTAAAGTGGTTCAATTCTAGCCATCG